GCTGGATGCCCAAAGGTGGGGTAGAGCCAAGATGATGCTCGTGCTGTGACCACATTGACGACTGTTTACATATCTCATTGAAAAGAAGAAACTGTTTCCTGCATCTTTTAACAGTAGACCTGGCAGACCTCGCAGCCGATGGTTGGGGATGACCCTGCTCCAGTTAGAGCCATGGCTTTCCGCCCTTGTTTTGGATTGTCTGTGTAGAGAGCTTTGTAACATTAGACTTTCTCAGTTACCTTTCCTGAAACCAGTCTCCTTAAAGAGGGTGTTCTTTTAAAACACAGATGCTAAAGGAGCCCTCTGATGGGCTGATGATAGTGGCAGAATGTTTAGTATAAATACAGGGCGGGGTTTAGCTTCACCTTATCTAGTACAGGAAGGGCTTGTTCCAGAGTTTTAAGGATTTATTTTTTTTTTAACTTTTCATCTCTAATTTAGCTCAGTCATTAATAAGAATGTTCTGCTTGTAAAAATAACTCTGGATAATCTAAAAATGTGTTTGAAAATGCTTCTAAATACATTAGCGCTTACCATTGCTAAATTGTGACAGTCATTGTAGCATGATTGGAAAACCAGTTGTTTTCCACTCTGCGTTAATATTCATTCAAAATGGGTGTAACGGTGACTGCTTCTTAAACTGCTAAGAAGTGGAGTTTATATCCAGAGATTCAAGTATTCTGGTACTGTATTGGTTCATACAAGAGCCTGGATGGATTCAAGCAGGAAAGTGGTGTGCTGCGTTCCATTGGTCTCTCACAATACTGGTATCACTTATGCTGCTTTGCTACTCCATTAAAGTGCCAGCTCATAAATTGTTTCTAATGAGTATCTTGTAAGATCTTGTGATAAGTTTCAGACCAGTAGGTACATTCTTAGAAAAATACCAGGCTTAACTAGGTTATTGAGCTGTAGAGTTGTTACCCATTAGGTAACTGAGAAGCGGAGATGAAGAATATCCGCAGCTTACAATGGAAACTGCGTATGAAGCCAGGTAATCCTAGACTTCTGTCCTGAGCCCACACACGCGTTCTGTTAGTTCTGAACCGTCTTCAAAGTTGCGTAAGCAAGCATCTGTCCTTCAGAAATATACTGTGAAACACAATATTGCGTTGGTGAGTCCTTTTATCTCTTCACAGCGGATAGGCAGAAGGGAGTAAAAATAGTGCTTGGCAACTCAGTTGTGTTTGGGGACAGAGAGTAAGTCTTTCTTAGTGTTATACCCTGAACAAAAATGGTCCTTTCTCTGTGGGTGTGTTTTTTACTTGCCTCTACGTGATTTAATTTTAATCTGCTGTACGATGTCTGGGCTTCGAGATAAAGTAGTTCTTTGTTACCTGTCTTTGTCGTTGTTCTTAATATGCACGCTGAGGACTTGAGCTATTTATTGGACCACCAACGATTTCATATTTGTCTTTGGCCAAAGACTTTTCTTCAAACTGTATTTTACCTGAGATAACAGTTGCTAATTTCTGGTTACTGAGACTGGCTTTACTAAAGCACAGAGAACTCCTCAGTGTGAGAAAGACGTAGGTAGAATTGCTACAAAGGCTACAGAAATATCTGAGTTCATGTTGATGCCATAGTTGGAAAATAAAATTGTTAATCTCCTTTTATTGAAATTATCTCTGTATACCAAAGCACCATTATTTTTTTAATTTGCTCATTAGAGCAATGCTTTGCTGCTTTTCTCCTCCGCTTACAGCTTATTTTTCCATGCATCAAACTGAAAAGAGGAGGTACAAATGACTTGGCAACAAAGCAAGCAAAGATGTTGAAAACAGTAACAGCAACAAAAGCATTCTTCAGAAGTGTCTTATTTCTGTAGTGTGACATTCCCATATCTGTTCAGACACTTCCCACATGATTGTGGTGTTACTTCAAATTCTTTTCAGTATAATCAATCAAGACTGTTTAAAAAGAAATGAAAAATCCGCTAATGAAAATAGAAGCATGGCATAGATGACAAGGTAAATGGGAGCTCACCTGAAAAGAGAAACCTACGTTTCAGAGTATGAATTTGAATTTTTCAGGCTAGCCTGATACACAAATCTCTTCTGCGTTGGCCTCCCAGTGAAACACAGCAGATACATAAGTTCTTGTATATATCAAAAGCCACTTAGGGTCTACTGAGGAGGTTTCACAATTACTGTAAGACTTGAAATGCTATTTTGAAAAAAATCCAGTGAGGTATGGTGGGTTGTTTGGGGGTTTCTGTATGTATGTATCTCAGTGAATTCTGCCCTGGATATCTGACTTTCTAAGTAGACCTAGTATTCAGCGTAGAAGTACCAAAACATTGGTAATTCTTCCATTGGGGTTTTTAAAATAGAGCAGCAATATTTGAGTACACTTACTTACATGATCAGTTTTCAGTTTAAAACCTGCCTTAGAAATTTCAAACAAAGATGCTGGCATCCTTTGAAAAGCACAGAGGACTTGTTTTCTGGGATACAGAAGAGCTATTGGCACTTAGTGATGTCGTTACGTAGCTTCTGCCTGTTGAAGAACTGTTTCTTCAAACAGTGGATGAACCTTCTCAGTCTTTTATTTCTTTCTGTTTCAGTGCATGAACTTCATAGCTTCTTGGTTTGTACTTTTTTAAGGATAGTAAGATAGTGTGGTGGTGTTCTCTTTAAAAAAAAAACAAACCACCAGCAACTTGGTAGCTTTTATCAAATACTGTAACACAGTATTTGATAGAAGATAATAATGCCTGTCTTCTGTGTGCGTCTGGCTGGTAACCTGGAATATTCCAGTTTTGTGTCCTTAATACCTATGCGATCTGTGAATCAGAGAGAGAATGAACCGTGCAGTTAGACTATACCAAACTCTTGTTCTCTGTGTTTTGGGGTGGGCTGGGGCAGAAGGGAAGAGTTTTGTTCTTCACATACAGAATGCATTTCCTAGGTGTCGTGGTTTAACCCCAGCCGGCAACTGAGCACCACACAGCTGCTCACTCACTCCCCCCCGGTGGGATGGGGGAGAGAATTGGAAGAGTAAAAGTGAGAAAATGCATGGGTTGAGATAAGAACAGTTTAATAATTGAAATAAAGTAAAATAGTAGTAATAATAATAATAAAAGAATATACAAAGCAAGTGATGCATAGTGCAATTGCTTACCGTGTGCCGACCAGTGCCCAGCCAGTCCCTGAGCAGCGGCCCCCCCGGCCAGCTTTCCCCCAGTTTATGTACTGAGCATGACGTCACACGGTATGGAATGTTTCTTTGGCCAGTTTGGCTGTGCCCCCTCCCAGCTTCTTGTGCACCTCCAGCCTTCTCAGTCGGTAGAGCATGGGAAGCTGGAAAGTCCTTGCCTAGTGTAAGCACTACTTAGCAACAACTAAAACATTGGTGTGTTATCAACATTATTCTCATACTAAATCCAAAACACAGCACTGTGCCAGCTACTAGGAGGAAAGTTAACTCTATCCCAGCCGAAACCAGATCACTAGGTTTAATTATGTTTGCTTCTTTGGTAGGATTTTTCCAGTTAAAGATGTACCTGCAGAGCCTGAAGCTCTTACACACTGGTTATATCAACGATTCATTGAAAAGGAGGATCTCTTGACGCATTTCTACGAAACAGGTAGGATGCTATCGAGCAAAGAGAATCGTGCTTTGTTAATGTCTTTTCTTACAAGGATCTCAAAATGGTTTAAGAACGCATATACGTTCTTCGCATGAATACAATAGATATAATTATCAATACTTCCTATGTGGCAAAAGAAGTATGATAAGAAATGATCTAGGAAAGGTAAATTACCCGGGTAACATTAGAATATAGGGTAGTGTTTGGAAGCTGGCACATTCAAACGGATGTAAGGAAATCCTCTTTTTTTCTTCAATAACATAGTTTAGCCGTGAAGCCTGCTGCCACAGGATTTCATTGAGTTGGAATAATTCAGCAAGATTCAAAGAGGTAGCGGACATTTACATGCATAGTAAAAGTAGTCAGAGATATGTTAAGTTTGGAGGGGTTATAAAACCTTCAGGGTTTAAAATGAGCAAGTTCTTGACTGAAAGGGATTAAATAAGACTCTTATGTGAGGCAGGTTATTTTATCTGCTTAGTGCGGCTACTTAGCGTGTTCCTCTGGCACTTGTACTGTTAGAGAAAACTGATCTAAATAGTCTGCAGGTCTAATCCAAAACCATAGTCCTCATCTGTTTCTCGTTAAGCTAAACAGAAAGATGCTATGATTGGAAGGATCTGGAAGAATTACGTAGCATAAAGTCTCTGGAGTCTTGATCTGCAGCTCTGTGCTGTGAGTACTGGCCTCCTTGCTGCGAGGTACCGAGGATCACTTCTATAATATACTTTCACTGTTAATGGATCAGAGGAATCTAAATAAACTTAGGGCATTAATAACATTACTGAAGGGATACTGGCAAACGTGATTTAAAATATCGGGTAAATACTTTGAAACTATAGCTGGAGAAGTGTTTCCTCAAGGCTCTTTTTTTTCTATCCAGTTGATACTGAAGTATGTCATCTGCCCTCCAGCAGGTAGGGGAGTGTGTGTGTGTGTGTGTGTTCAGAATACAAAACAGAGGAATTCATCAAAATAAAAAAAAAAAAGAAAACCCAGAGAGGAAAATACAGAGGGTTTTTTTTAGACATAAAGGAAAGGAAGTTTATCAAACATAGACTGAGTAGGAAGACTCCAGATGAAATAATGCAGCTTGTCTCTGAAGAAAAATAATCTCTTCATTAGCAAGTAGCACAGCTGTTGAGGGGGGGAAATATTCAGTCTCTTGAATCTACCAAGTTTAATATTCCAGAGTGACTATGTTAAACAAAGACGCTACTTCTATTAGATGATTTATTGCTTTAATTTGGTTTTGAGTGCTTAATTTATCAATGGTAGTGCTTAAAAAGATTAGTAGAATTCTTTAACAACCCAGAGTTGTATTTTGCTTTATGAAATACGGCTGTCACTCATCCATCATTGATGGCAAAAGTCAGACCCTGCTATATAAATTGCATCCAAATGCATATATTGGACTTTATTAGACAAATAGGTTTGTGAATCTGTTTAAAACTACAAGTGTAGTCAATAGGGGGTAAGGAATCCTTGTTATTGAGACATTATTTCACAAATACCATTAAAATAAATCATACCCAAAAAAATCTAACTCGACTAGAATTTCAGAGAGTATAATGAATATAATCAGATTTATTCGTTGAAATGTGCTTCCAAAATAGAATAATTGGTTATAATTTGCCAATGTAATCAGTATGAATTAATAAGACATGTTTTAAATGCAAATGCTATGACATAGGACCTTATTAGACATAAATTAGCATAATTTAAAGTTACTACCATTTGTGCCAGTTGAGAACTAGCTTGCATTGCTTTTGTTGGCTTACTGCAAAAGTGCTGTTACAGTTTTTGGAAACCCCCTGGAAAAGTCCTGAGGCCTAATGTGAGGGGAATCCCTGAAGCTGCTCAAGAGCTAGCTTTGTGTTGACGTGTTATGTCAAGTTGGTGTGATTTTAAGACTTAGGGTTGTTTCAGCATTTTGATTTTTTTTTTTTACTTTTTTTTTAAATGCATACTGCTTAGGAACTTCTCTTAGTTCATAAAGCTTACTTCGTAAAGCTGGAGTAACATTTAGTGCTACGTGAAACTTTAGAAGTTTGTATTGACAATGTCATTGGTAGGAATACATTCTTTTGGCGTATTTTTATTTGGGAAGAGGAAAAACAAAGCCTAAAACACCTTTTTTCCTTGTTGCTGTATTCCTAAGTGTTAAGAACTTTAATGGGTCTGGGGAAAACCTGTAATATTAGACCTCTTAAAATTAAACAGAAAAAAAGTATCTGCCTAAAATTTGAGCATGAAACTGTCCCATCCTTTCTTACAGGTGCATTTTACACATTTCATCTATAAAATTAAAACTGTTCACAGTTAATATCTGTAGGTATGAGCAACACAGAGACTCCTATTTTAGCAGCTAATGGAAAGCTTGTATTGTCAGGATAACCTTGAACACTGCAGTAACACGAATGAGACGACATTTAGCAGGACAAAAACGCTTGGAAACTAATTAAAAAAAAAGAACTATAAACTAGGAGGTTATCGGTTGGAAATGAGTAACTGTATACCAAAGTCATCATGTCCCTCATTCACTCTGATCATAGCCAGCTGGTGTGATGTAGCTAAAAATGTAAGCAATGTCATCCTACCAGGCAACAGGAGAGGGTTGTCACCAGTGCTACAGAAATACTCTTCATTGCACCAAATCTGAAACCTCATCTGGAAATTCTGCGTACAGGTCCGTCATCCCCGTTCAAGAAATAGGAATTGAACCGGGAAGAGGGACAGATAATAGGTGCTAAGGTGATTAAGGGGAAGGAGGAGTCGTTTCTGTGAAGGACAACTAAAAGTGCTTGGCTTGTCTCAGCTAGGAAAGTGAAGGATCATTTTCTCTGTAAGATACAAGTTGGCTTGGGAGAGGAGGAGGGGGAAGAGACAGTTGCTATCAGTACCAAGGAAAAAGGGAATGTATTTAAACCAAAGGTCAGTGTTGGTGCAGGAAAACAAATGAGCCATGGAAGAACAAATGTAGAGTGGACAAATAGAAGCTTAGCAATGAGAATTACTGGGGAATGAATGGTGTGGCAAATCTGCCTGGGTGTGAAAATACGTATTGGTGAGAGGAGGATGGGACTCATCAAGGGGTTTTTTTAGGGTTGTTTTTTGGGGTTTTTTTAGTTTTGTGTTTGGTTTTTTTTTAATTTAAGAGCGTTCATAGAGGAGGAAGAGTGTTGTCTTAAATGCTTGATTGCAGTTCCTCCAGTGATTGCAAATGTGAAGCATAGAGATAAGTTGCTGATGGTATCTAATTGCCCAAATTGTGTGGTTTCTGAGATTCAGAATTGACGCTGCTATATCTTTACTCTTTGAATCATTCACCTCCTGTACTTCTGTGAGTAGTTGTGACTCCATAATGCTGCGGCAAGTACATCATCTTCTCTGGTATATTTAGAGGTTTTCTATCCACTGTTCAGGATTAACAACAACAAAGTGGTTCGTATCACCTAGGCTTTGTGCATCTCAGTAAAATGTAACACAAATTATTTAATATGCTGATGTAAATACATGCCAACAATTTGCTTATGATCATAAAGCTCTGACGTATTCAGACACATGTAACTTAGTGTTATAAGTCAGAAAAGGTCAAAATAAGGAAGAATTACTTTTTTTAATCGTGTCAGCTGTATCTCCTGCCAGTCTTTCTCATCTGAGCAGACGTTTCAAAAAAGTCTTTCTGGAAAACTGAATAGCAAATTGTAATGCTTCCTTAGTCTATATGGCTGACTGGCCAATGAATGTTCAAACAACATATGGAAACTATTGTTTTTAAAAAAGAAAAGTGCGTGTGTATATGTACCTATATATTCAAGGGGAACCTTGAGTGTGTATGTGTATTGCTTCTTCACAGTATACAAAATCATTACCAAACAGCTGTAAAATTTAATATGGAGTCCATTCAATTGGATCATACGGACATTAACATAACTTCAAAAATAACACAGAAAACTTAGTTGACAGTCGGATCTCCCTGCAAAGTTGAGGATGGCTGCTTTTAAGGAACGCTTTGAAGTTTATGCTTGAAGTTTAAGTTTATATCCAAATGAAATGAAAATTGTTCTTAATAATAAAGAAAAGGGTGTGTTTTTTTAAATTTTCTTGAAGATAACTGACAATGGCGGAGAGTCTTTTGAAAGTTTAACAGCATAATACAGAAGTAACCGATTAATTGTTTGTGGGCACTGTTGCTGGGACAAACAGTGACGGTAAAGAATCGTGCATTAAGGCTATCGTTCCTGCTGCAGAAGCATTAAATGTGTTTTGTTTTCTCTTTTAGGAGCTTTTCCTCCACTGCAGGGTCAAACAAAAGCTATTTCTCGGGAGATGACCCTCAGTAACCTGTGGCTAGTCGGCATACAATCACTTGCGTTTTTGTCAGGCGGTATGTGGTACTGCATCTTTCAGTATTTTTATCATTGCCTGTTTTAAAAGTGGAATGGGACCTGAGGACACAATGGGAATCCAGGCTCTTGCAAATGAATATCATGTTGTATGTGCAAATGCGAATATTCAAGAGTAAAGGAAAATACTGGACGGACTCTTACCTCTCTTTGGGGAAATTTTAAACTCCACTAAAAGTGAAGATCAGTAACATAGTGACCTGATGATGTATTATTTTAAGAATTGTCTGTATTTTTAAAAATGTATACTCTCACCCACACTTAAGCAAATTCAGCATTTGGACAAAAGGTGCAATCGTACAACCGCCGTAGAAGAATGTCTGTGACAAGAAAGCTCTGTCACCACAAGTATTTCTTGGCATTGTAGTTAGAACTCAGAAAATTCAGCAACTTGTCTCTTCAGTAGTCTGTACAGCATTGGTGTGGTAGAGATTCCTCATTTGCACAAACTTGTACTTTATTGCAACTCATTGTGCTGGAGTCAAAGATACTCGACAGAGCTGGTGGCGGTATCTTTGCGGCTACGCAGTCAGCAGTTGTTGTATTAGACACATTGATCTAAAACCAAGACCCAAGTAAGATCCAGCGTCAGGTGTGTTTTGTGAGGAATCGGTCCTCAAAAAAGCATTGCAGCATCATCGTGTGATTAAAAGCCATCCACATTTGATGAATCAGCCCATCCCTGCTGTGGTCTTACCATCAGCTCTCCGAATTCCGTGTGCTACCAGTATCTCATATTATGAGGAAACTTGGAAAACATAAAGTCCCTTGGTTTATTTTTCCCTTTTTGTTCAGAATGCATCTCAACGATCACTATCAGTTTTCACAATGCACTTTTAAAGGTGAAAATACAGTGAAGGAAAGACATAAAACTTAGGGAATAGGGGGAAGCTTTATTTGTCACGCATTGGAAGCCAGAGCAATTCTAGCTGTTTCTGAAGGTCTGCTGGTGCTGCTGGTGATTTTTAGCCACCTTTGTATTTTGTATACTGCAGTCCAACCAAGGTGACCTTTGAGTGGTTTATAGAGGCCTTTTTCTCCCCGCTAGTTGCAACAGCGCTAAATATACTTGTGGGAGAGTTTAAATAATTCAATGCCAACCATCTTAATGTTTTGCTAAGGAGTAATAGAAGAAAAACTAGTTTCTTAAGTAGAAAAAATAGGTATAATTGCTATCATAAATCTATAGGAAGATACTACTGCGGGGAAAAAAAAGTATGGTAAATACTCTGAATAACTACATGGAGGGTAGTATTAATTAGCTTACCACTGTGCTAAAATCTTACTGGAAGAGGGATGAGTTGAATTTAAAGGCAGACTGGAACAGAAGACACGTTCGGATGTGTAACATAGGATACTTTTGAAAGGATGTCTGTGATGTACGGTCTTACTTCTGGCAGGTCTAGTTGGCATCATTTTTATGTGATTATACACAGATTTGAGAGCTGTTCCTAAAATAAAACTAATCTCTCTAAATACAAGCAGGATAGCCAGAACTTCAGATGTTGGCACACTGCCTTTTACAGAGTAATTTTACTGACAACAAAGTAAGCCCTCAGTAGCTTTGGCTCTGAGTTAGCAATATTGATCCCCCTTCTCTCTCCCTTTCCTGCTACATGAATCACGGTTGGTGGTGTGCAGAATACAAAACCTAGCCAGTGTTCCCTGTGCGGGGGGAGCTAAGAGCATACCAAAATACGAGGCAATGCCAATTTCCCTGACTTAATGGAAAAATACCTAGTCAAATATGCCACCCCTGTCCCCCCAAAAGCAGTAGTTTTATCCCGAGGTAGCTCAGTGGGATGGCTGCAAAATGATACACCATAGTAAGTTCCCTCAACTGTAAGTCCCCTCATGGACTTGAAAGAACCACTGCGGCTGGGAGGCAAAGGACGGGGTTGCCTACAGTGTAATGTTTTAGGTAAGATACTGTTTCTAAATCCTTTCTCTTTACACCCAGTCACACACCTGAATTCTGGTGTAATGTAAAATCCGTTTAAAAAGAGGTATGCCCTGAAAGGGAGGCAGTCTTGGGAGTATGTTTTTTTTTCCTGTTGCTCTTGTACATCGGCTAAAGTACAGCTGATGGAATGAATGTATTTAATCTGCCATTTTACAGGAGGGTGTTCGGGGCAGCCCGGTGCCGTTGCCGTGTAAGTGGTTACGTCTGCTGCACGTGGGCGTAAATGGACTCTCAAAACTGCAAAATGCAGATGCAGGCCACTCGTTTCTGTCCTCTGCCAGGTGGCTTGATCAGAACAACAGAGATGCCCGTAGTACAGCTGGTTTTATTTTGAGCTAGGACAGACTGGAGTGATATAAAAAGGGAAGTTTATATAAGCAGATTGCACAGCAGTAACTCGCATCAGGAGGTTGTTCTTTGTAGACCCTGTGAATTCCATGTCAGAGCATACTGTTTTTTCCAAATGCAGTACGGATTGCAGTCAATAGTGAGTGTTCACATGCTGCCTAAAGAAATTAGTAATGCGCAATAATGTTTCAGATAATCATTTGATTTATCTGGTCCTGTTCATTTTCAGTTTGTTCCTCCATAGTTCTTACTATTGCGAGACATTTGTTTTCACGCACTGATTGTTGTTTTGGTAGGGTGAGTAAATAGTATTAGGTCTTAGGCTTCTTTCCTGCCTGCACTGAAAAATGAAGAGCGCCTGACGTTGTGTCTCCTTACGGCTGAGTTGCTGTAGATGACAGTGGAATGAAACCGTTGTTCAGAAACTCGGAAGTACCTTCCCAGCATGAACTTGGATGCTGCTTCAGGAAAGAGAATAAATTGGATAAAAAGTTTTTCTATTAGGAGAAAAACATAAAACGTATACAATAGATAGGAAACGCTGTGCTAAAAATACCATGCTGGTCAAGACTGTTTGGAGCTTAGGAGGCTAGTTTGTAAAACGTAAATTCCTGTCGGCTGCAGTTCGGTTCTGCCTTCTGGCAGTTGGCCAGTGTTACAGTTGTAGGGGGCATTCTGCTGCGCCATCCGTGGGCTTCCTCTTCTGAAGAGTTCAAAATGCGTTTGCTAGAAAATGATGTTAGTGAACCATACAGTTGATCACAAAACAGTTAATTAATATAACTTTGAATTTATATTAGGAGAAATATAAGGGAGGACTGTATAAAGTGATACAGAATGAAAAAATTACAGAAAAAATGCTAACTGTTGCACACGGAAGTGAGAACATAGCGATATAAGCGTATTGCGAATAAAGATGGTTCTCTGCCAGGGTTGCACACAAAACATCTGTACGTTTCTATGTTTAATTGTTCATAAACAAGTTGTTACAATTGAAACGATGCAGGTCCTAACGGTTTAGCATTACTGCTCTTTGAATCCCGTTACGCGGAGTATCTGCCCATTCACAACGAGCAGCGTTTTCTTCAGTGCCCTTTGGTGAGCGCACCTTCCTTACGGGTGCTCTAGTATTTTACGTACGGTTCTATCAAGCTTTTCAACAATGAAGTCGCTTGCAGGAGGGATTTTTTTTTTTTTTAAGTTGCTCTTACCAGATTTTGAAAAGCAAGATTTCAATTTACCGGGCTCACTGGAAGATCAAAAGCTTCCTTCTCCCTCCTTCACCCCCAGCGTCAAAAATAAGATGCATCTTATTGCAGTAAAAATGCAATGATCACTGTGGTACTGTTCATTAGTCACTTGTTTTGCAAATGATGTAACTGGGTTTTTTCTGTCTGACACTGCCATAAAGTGCTGTTAACTTTTTTCACCTGTTTGTACAAGATAATACAGATACCGATCACTGTGTGTGACAGGATTCAACTGCTCCACTTTGCCTTGACGTAAAATTTTGGGACCAAAGGTACTTAAAACTGGCATTTCCAAATCACAAGACTGGGGTCGGGTGCATTCTCTTGATAGTCAGCTGGAGATTTTGTGGTGATCTGATACAATCACACAAAATAATTATACATCTGGGGTACTGTATTGTTTGGAAATAATGGAGCCATATGAAATAAAGGATTATTTTGCAAAATTGCATATTTGATAGTTTTTACACTTTTTAAAAAAAAAAAAAGAACAATTGGAAGAGCAAAATTGAAACCATTCTCTGGTTTAAAATGTCTGCATACGTTTTGAACACTTCTGAGCAGCTTTATTTTTTCCTGTAAAAACTGTAGACTACCTGGCTGTGATACAAAAGAAGTCTTTAAAAGGATTCTATGCATTTTAAAGTTAAACCTTTTATTTTATCATTGGATAATGAAGTAATTATACACCGAACAACTGTCCTATTAAAGTGAGTTAGTTCCTTAAAATTACTCTACAATGGTGTTCATTTTGTATGATAAAAATTCGCTTTCTTGATACCAGTTATTTTCACTTCCAATTTTCTCCTTCCCTCCTGCGTTACCTGCATTTTTGTTTTGTGCGATAAAACGGATGCAGAAGCCTGTAGTGACTCTCGGTGATTTTGCAAAGGGCTGGTCGTGTTTGGAATTATTTTATGGAATTTATTTCATTGGATTTTTTTATCAAATCTTTCCAGCAGCCAAGATGTCTTTCAGAAATGTAGATGGGTACCAGAAGCGGCGTTTCTCTACGGAGATTATTAGGTGTCTTTTCCCTTTTTTTTTTTTTTGTTGTTGTGTGTGGCAAAAATAAAGTTGATTTTTTTTTTTCAAGTTATTTCATGTGCTTCTAATCCTTAACAGATGAGATGACTTTCTTTGGTTGTATTTATTGTGCTTATATCCAATAGATACACAATCTCTATTGTGCTTACCGTAAACTCAACAAATAGCAAAATGACACTTTGGTTCGCTATACAACTGCAGTGCTAATTTGTGATAGATAACGTTGCTTATTAGAGCTCTCATCCGGAAGGACACGGAGACAAATGTTTCTTTGCCAGAAGCGGTAAGGGGAGGAGTGGAGCAGTAGGGAGGAGGGGGGAAAGCAGCTTCTGCAGCCCTCGCTCACCCCGGCACCCGCTGGGAACTTTGCCGGCGGTCAAGCTACAGAGTTTCTCCGCAGCTCCCTGCGTAGCAATGATTCCCCTTGAAGTCTCTGGGAGTTGAGGGCGCGCCAAGAGCAGAACCTGGGCCCCCATCGACCCTGGATTGCCACCATCCTAGAAAGATGTGAATCCAACCTTTTTGCGAGCAAGGCTGTAATCATTTTGTAGATAGGTATATTTTTCTAACAGCGAGTGGTCTGTTTTTAAACAACTTCAGCTAGGCAAAGCAATATCGAGTGGAACAGCGCCGTTCATTCTGTGGCCCTGGCATCTCTCGCTACCGATAGCTCTTAGCTCTGTGTCACCGTCCGTGTTAACTGCTGGTGTGGAATACTGCAACGTACAGCAAAGGACAAAGGAACTCCTTGGAGCATAGTAAGACATCTCGCACAATTTCCAAAACAGCGCCATGGTTGTAGTTACGTCTACCTCTTCGTTTCCCTTCTGGGTTTTGTCTTGTTTCTCTGTGAGGGGTGGGGGGAATCGGGGAGGGAGAAAGTGGGAGGGAAAACTTGAAATCTGAATACAAGATGCTGGTGGGGGATCCAGTGCTTACCAGCTGTGTTGTCATATTGGAAAAGCCATTGTTTTTAATTCCTGCCTAGTGTGAAATGTTTGTTTTAAAAAAATCCTTCCTGCCAGAAAGAAAAATGTATTTTTGAAAAGAAAAAAAAAAAAAAAATCCCTCTTTTGGCTATGAGAATGTCAGCTGTATGAGTTGTGACCATATCATGACATGCTGATCAGACATAAATAAATTTTTATCTCTCAGGACTCTATCTTGTATTTTTACTCTTCTGGTAACTGTCACAGCTTTTCTGAAAGGATGCTCTGCATTTTTAAGTATCACTAATTTCAGCTGAGCAACAAATAAAAAAGGTACGTGAATGTGTGCACGCTCCGGTTTACAAAGAAACATCTCTTGTTGAGTTAAAGAGAAAAAAAAAAGGCACCCTGTGAAATGTACTGAAAGGCCTGCTGCAGGTTAGCTCAGGGCACAGGGAACTGCGGCGGTTAGGTTCCAGTTCCAGGTGTTTCTCTCCCTCTGTCCCTCCCTGCCTCTCCGAGAGCTGCTGTGAGCTTCGAATATACTATAAAACAGCACGCTTAGCCCATGGGGCACGCGGAGTGAGTACGTGGCTTTCTAGCTGATTGTAAATGGGCGGCTTCTCTTAAAAGAAGTTGCAGAGTAATGGGCAGAGCTGTAAGAATAG